ATGGACAGATATCAGCTTCGCTTTTGTACATCGCACACAGTATCTTTCTCAAATAGATTTTTGATAAACTTAGTACTTTAGCTTGACCAAACTAGACACAATTTACAGCCTCTTGTTAGTATTTTATGCTTTAATGCTTCCCTTTTGAAAAAAATATCAAATCACGTTAGATCAAAGTTTGTGACTTTTTCACAAAAGCACAGGAATTGATTCTGATTGGAAAAAGAGGGATTTGTTTTTCCTGTTTGAAAAAAAAGGTCTGCTGTAGTAATGCACATTATATGAGAGACCTAGTTGTGTTGCTAAAAGGTGCCAACTGTTGCAATTTGATGCTTGTTGAATGCTGAATCAGCAGTCCCTCATGGTCACTGATGTTATGTCTGTGCCAAGTGGCAGGATTACTGCTCTGGTTTTATTGGACAATCTCAACTATTAGGCCATATCAGTTTCTGAGAGATAAAAAATACCTGAGGGGGTTCAGTTCTGATGGAAAGAGGTTGAAAGTAGATTGGTTCTCCATTTATTCCATTTCTAAAGAAGAATGTCCTGACAAGCCCTCGGATTTCTATTAGGTCTCAGATGGAGAGTGATAGAAGATCCATCTGACAGTCGGAACCAGGTTTTAAAGTAGAGGCAGTTACAGAAGGAGGGAATGTTCGACAGCAAGTGATGGTGCTACTTTCAGTCCTGGGTAATGGTCAGCAGAAGCAGAAATGCCTCACATCACTCCAGCCCTCTTACTCCATAATTGACGTTTTTATTGAGCAAAATAAATTCTCTATTCTCACTAGATTATTCCTTGGTCTCCAATCTCAGAGGGAAGCCTCACCTGAGGAAGGATTTAGAAAAGAAAGATTAAAATAGGAAGAGTTATGAAGTTTGAGGAGCAGCTGGCTGAGTATTTTACCAACTCTAAATTATAATTTCAAAGGTCTCTTTTATTGGAATATAAAAATAGAGAAGTCTTTTGGAATACAAATGTTATGGTCATCACTTTTAGTTATTTTGAATTTGCCTCAATTTTTTTTTTCAGTCAGTTTAATATGGTGAATGGCTTTAAATACCACAATACCAACCAGTCCTTAGCCTTAATAGCTTTGGCGAATAGGCTAGCCTCGGGTGAATCAGAGCTGGATCAAAATGGATCAAAAATCCAAACTCTTATTTTAAACCATTCTGAATGAAATCACTGGACTCAGCACAACACAGGGACAGCTTATAATGCACCCAGACCAGAATCATCCTGTAGTTTTTATTTAACACTTTTTAATGAGCATTGTCAGATGAAGGTAAAGTATTGATATGATATGACATCATCCAAGGACATGGAGCGAAGGGAGACGCCAAAATAACTTGGCCAACAATCGGTTTCATTTCAAGCGAGCTGTGCTTGTACAATGCTGTGGATGATAACCATGGTAACACTGTGGCAGCGAGAAGAGTCCTTCCACTGCCGGAGACATAACACCCTGCTTTAGTCCATCATGTTTACTTACTTAAAACCACAACGTGCTCCCAAATGAGTGCATTTCACTTTTTAAATAGATTGTACACTGATGTGCACTGGAATAAAAAAAACCTAAAGCTTGTGCCCCCTTCTTTTTATTAAGTCAGTAATTGGGTTTGAATCAAATCCCAAAGAGATTCTCAAAGCTTCCCACCGCTCCTCCCATGTCACAGTTCCATTTAAAACTCAGCACAACGTCTGTAAATCATCCACAAAGCAAAATAAAACTGCAGGTATGGTTCACTGCTGTGAGAAGTTAGAATCACTATTTGAGTCACCTAAATATTTACAAGATCCTCATGAGTTGGCCAGAAAGTCTGATGACATAACACACTTTTTAAATATTTGTATAAGGCTGACATGTTAGTGAATTATTCAATTCTGGTCTTCTCACATCTGTAAGTCCTCACTCTGACTTGTCTGTAAAATATATACACATTTCATTCAAAATCAATTATATAAAGTTAGCACATGGTTCCAAAATTACATAACATACATACATGTGCCTTTTTATTTTATCTGCATTTCAAACTGAATACCTATCTATTTATATTTGCACTTTTTGCATCTAGAGTTAAAATAGACTGGAGGGAATGTCAGTTTGACAGTCAAATTTAATAGCAGGCAGAAATCTTGAGGTGACTCATGAAGACTGTGACTGTAGTGTACAGAATAATTGTTAGTCAAGGAATGAGACGCATTGCAGTGGACTTGTCACAGCTCATTTCAGAGACAGGCCTGGTGCACTGCACTTAATTCAAATATTACAGAGGCAAGGACAAGGAGAGAAAATGTAACTGTCTTAGTTATGTGCCTTAAAGTAACAGTGAAATACTGCACCTCTGATTTCAGACCAGATTATTGTTGGGCACTCTTCTCACTGCTGTATGAAAGACCAACACGTCCATGGGCATTCAGACGGCTGCAAGTGTATTTGCTATTAATATATAACAATGTCTGCACCAGGACGCTTGAGTCATAGTACACTTTGGTGTGGATCTAATTAATTGTTCTTAATGAAAGAATTAGGCACGGGTAGGGGACTAATATCGATCAATGTGTACAACTTTGGAGCAGCTTGATTGGATTTGAGGGGACTGTTGGATCTTGCTGGAGGTATATGCTCTACTGAGTGCCATTCTAGTTTAAATGTTTGTGGACAATAACAATTCAGTGAATTCTGTGTAATGTGTAGTTTTTTTTGTAACCTACAGAAAGGTCTATCAAGTTGTAGATGAGAAATCTCTATAATTTTCAGGTAATTGAGTTCATTTACTTTCTCTTGTTACATGCATTTGTACACTTTGTTTTTCGCACAGTCGGCCTGATCTACTAAAGGTTAGAGTGTGTAAAACATGTGCAAACTTGATTTCACCTACAAAAACACATGCAAGCTGATCTACTTAAGGTGCACATTGAGGATTGCATGCAGAATAACACAAGCTATTGGGAGGGGTAGATGTAAATACTTTAATTTAACACAGGCATTGTGATTTACAAAGCCTTAAAATTATTTCGGTGATTGTGACTGCGTCTATATTTCAGATGTTTGAAAGGTAGGTGCTAATCGGCACAGCGTTTCTCACAGATGGCTGCAATTATTGTGGTTCAGAGAAGACGGCATTGGAAGAAGACGGTGAGCGTTATTTTTCAGAAAGTGAACTGCACCTGCTGCTCAATATTGGTCAGAGCCATTTCTTCCACCGGCCCCCCCACCTGTTTTATTTGCCGAGGTTTTATTTTGAGCTATTTTTTTTTTGTTCTTCTTATGGCCTGCCAAGTTCTCTTAATTTCATCTTTGTGTTTTACCCACAGCTTTTACTTTCTCGCAGAGACTCTCCTATATTGCTTTTCTTTGAGTTATATAAATATTTCTTTGTATGCCTTTCCCACTGATACCTC